TTCACCTTGACTGGTTCTACTCTCAATAGATTGTGAGGGAATCTGATCGCAGTATTTTAATATGACTGTAACTGATGTAGAGTACAGTTTGAGGCTTTATGAAAGGGTGACACAAGCACTAGAAGTAAGAAAAGCTTCGTGTGAGTATTATAATGTTTTAGCAGTTATGAGATACATTAGATTTTATATACATAAACCAGACCTTAAGACTTCCAATATATTTGAAGAACTTAATATTCGTAGATAATTATGGGTTAATATTAAAATTCATATAGCTGTGTCAGTTCTGATTTTAAATTTAATTGTAAACACCCTTATACTGAATGCGAATTATAAAGCATATCTGAGCAAAACTAAATTCTGATATAACAAATTTTTTGTGAAATTTAATAAAATAAAATTGATTTAAATTAAATTTAAATGAATTTAATTTAAATTAAATTGAATTAAATTAAATTAAATTGAATGAAATTAAATTAAATTAATTAATAGGATTAGATCGTGTAAGGTAGTATAAATGATTCAATAAATATAACTATTGCAACCATGAGGAATTGAGTGACGAATATATAATATTACACTTTAATAAAGTTTAGTACCAAAGGTATAAAAGAAAGTACTCTGCAGATTTCCTCTCTGGTATTGGTAAGAGTTATAGGTAAGAGGTAAGAGTTTTATGATTCAAGGCTGTATGTAGGAAAATTAAATGAGTTTTGACTGACCTAATCTTAAAAAAGCTTTTGGAATAAATGTGAGGCATTTGATATTACATAAAAAAGAGGAATACATAAAAAAAAATTTTGTACCTTTTAAAATAATTTTTAATTTTTAATTATTATCATAATTATTAAAGTAGTTAATTAACTTTATTAAATTAGTTTAAAAATGTGTTGTTTCTTTTATCCTAACTATTATTCACAGTTGTTAACAATTATTTAAATTTAATAAAAAACGTTTAGTTAAATAGTTTTTTAGTTAAATAATAGTTTATATAAATTATTGTAATGTTCATATTATATATATACACAAGGAAGGTGCAGTTGTCATGAATTTTGAAACATCTTCCCAGATTAAAATATAAATTTAATATTAAAAACATATTCAAAACAATTTGTATGGAAATATATGGAGCAAGTGATGTTAAAAAAACTTTTGAAAATATTAAATATTTAAGTACATGTGTACATGTATCTTCGTACATATTTATATATATTTATAATATTTATATTTATAATAATAAATGAAAAAACTATTGCTAAGACTTGCTCACAAGATTTTTTCTTTTTAAAATTAATTCATTTCACTATATTATAAGCACCGCATCTACCAACACAGGTGGTTTTGACTGGTTTAAACCAATTCAAATTAGTATGAAGTCAGATACAAATTCGTATTGAGATAGAAGTGGTATAGAGCGGCTCAGAAGCGCCCAGACAGCAGCGCTATCATTTTCATTGACACTGGTTTTCATGTGATGTTGTTTGCATGCAGCCTGAAATTGTGGTGCCACTGCCTCTGTAGGTTACTTGCAATCAATGAGAACAACTAAGGAGAACTTTCATTGACTAGTAAGATACTGCGATACACATTTAAAGAATCTCAACCGGCAAATTGAGTTTCCATGCTGGGTTACAAGATTCTTTCTAAATTTTTGTAAAAAAGTGTAAATAAAATAAAAACCCAACAAAATGAATGGGAAGACATTATATGCATGTGTCTCTTCGACTGGATCAGTTTGTTGTTGTTGTTGTTTGGTTTTAGTTATTGTTTTCATTTGCGAGTGTTTGTTAATTTATCGAAATCAGCTGTTTGCTTTAGAGCTGCATGTAGTGTAAGGGACGACGAAACCCGGGTTTAGTTTCAGTGTTTAAAGAAAAATACAAGGCGATATTTGATTTTCGTTAGTATTTGTGCTCTTTTTTATTTTGTTTTTCTTTATTTCTTTTTTTTTTGTCTTTTTTATTTACGGACACTTCAAATCGTACGTTGACCAAGAAAAATTTTGTAGTTCACTCAAAAACAGACGGGAAAGATCGTTTATTTGTTTGTTTGTGAACTCTGCTGTTATCAGTTTTGTTGCGTTTACGTTAACATTTCTCGTTTCAGTTGAAATTATTTCGCTCAGCTTTATCTGTTCGCTGATATCGTCACTGTTTTTAACAGTGGCGGGTTTTCTATACGAAGGTGCCGCTTGCTAGATCAACTGATATATTATATATTAGTTAACATGATTGTTTGATTTTTACTATTCCTTAAAAGCGATTATGATAATATCTACTTTAATATAATATTTTATTTTCTTTACAAAAAAATTTGGTATGGGTTTTTAATGTATGATAATTTAATGTAATATTCTCCATGTTGATCTAGTATCAGTTGTCATATCTGTGGGAATAGTATGATTCCACGTTTATAAATTTGCTGACATTGACGTCTGTATTGGCAGTAAAGGTTTTAGCATATAACAATATTGTGAAGAGTTATTTATGTGATCATAAACGATCACATTCGATCAATTTAATATTTTAGTAATTTTATTATCCCAATTTAAGGAATGAGTTATAATCCGACGACTCCAAATAGTATGATTTCACGTTTATAAATTTGCTGACATTGACGTCTGCATTGACAGTAAAGGATTTATCATATAACAATATTATGCGGAGTATTTTATGTGATCAATAACGATTACATTCGATCAATTTTATATTTCAGCAATTTTATCATCCCAATTTGAGAAATGAGTTGTAATCCGACGACGCCAAACAAAGCCAAAACGATGCCAAATCGAAAACTGGGTGTTGGAATACATGACTTTTCAATGAAACGTATTGGAAGGTCTTAAAGAGTTTTCGCATTATTGATTTTCTGCTCCTATTTCTGTTTAAATCCACCAATCAAATCATGACAATATATAATAAAATTGTTTACGAGATTGTTTAGAAGAAACGATTATTTTAAAACATAATCAAATAGTGCAAATTATCTTTTTTGCTAATTACTTTCTTTCAAAGTGATTTTAAACTTTCCATATTATTCACTGCTTGATCTCTTAGGGTAAACATAATTCTGGACAAATTTCACCTAAAATAAAATTTCGTCTAAATCTATGAATGTCTATAGCTAATTCATTAGAATTAAATTTTGAGTTTTACTCATAGTGACTATTGCAATGTGAGCTTATACATTATCTTAAGCATTTATGACCTTTTTTATTTGCCAAAGGTAACTTTTTGATTTTCAAATAACAACATTTAGTTTATCTAGTAATGATATATAGAATATTCTTAGTATTTTATTACTACTTTCAAGGTTGTCAATTAGCAACATGTCTTTGACATTGGCATAAAACACTAGTTATCACCTTCTCAGCTAATATTGCAGTCCCTGCCTTTTTGTAGATCTTTTATTTCTTTAATCAACATTTTTTATATTGTTTTGGTCTAATAAATATATTCGTAAGTATATAATGAGTATATAACATTTGTAATTCTGCAAAAAGTTGACCATGTTTCTAAAGCATCGATTTAATATAGCTCCATATATAATTAAGTGATTGCAATATTGTTATAATGGTATACTATGTGATACATATAATGTACCTTTAAGATGTTTCTAACAGTTATTACAGGTTTCAGTACTATCAAGATAGATTTCTATTAATATAGCTGGTATGATTATCTCTGTTTGCATTATTACATATGATAGTGTTAAGATCAAATAAATTTTGGATTAAATATGCTACTACGTGTTGGTTTTTAAATAGATAAACTCAATCACAACACGGTATTTGTTCTTCTTCAATTTTAACAAACAATGGAATTCAACCAATGAAAAATATTATTTAATATAATTGTTATAGTAAATATGTATAAACTTTTTCGTACTACATAAGGTTCTTAGTGCTTCTAATCCTTGAGATTAGAAATAGATCTATTAGGATCGTCGAGATGACCTTACCTAACTTGATCTACCAAATAATGGCATTGACAATGAAATTAAAAAAATATATTCATTTTTATATATCTTCTTAATTGCTGGACACAATCTATTTCGAATATCCCACACATTCTTTCGGAATTACATATAGTATTTAATTGATCTATATTAACGTTACAATTTAAGCATTTGAAAGCAGATTCTATGGAAATATTACAATAGTAAAAATATATAATATTTTTAGTATTTCATTATAAATCTTTGCTAATAAAATTAAGAAAATATATTCGTTTAAAAGTATCTTCTTTATTGCTGGACGCAAGACATTTCGAACATCCCACACATTCTTTCAGAATTACATATAGTATTTAATTGATCTATATTAAGGTGACAATTTAAGCATTTGAAAGAAGATGCTATGGAGATATTACAATAGTGACAATATATAGTATTTTTAGTATTGCATTATAAAGTTTCGCTAATGAAATTAAGAAAATATATTCATCTGAAAGTACCTTCTACATTGCTGAACGCAAGCCATTTCGAACTTCCTACGCATCCATTCAGAAATACACATAGCATTTAATTGACACAAGGTGTTAGTTTAGGTATTTGAAAGAAGTTTTATAGGAGTTTTTTTTTGTTATATACATGAGTAGTTAATTTATAGAACTCAAACCATGTGCAGAATTGTTTTTAATAATTTAATAGTTCATTTACAAACACACATCTCTCACATCTAAAAAGCAGGTATAGATACTTATCACTTTTCGTTTACTCTAGTACGTATGATCCGCTCATGTGTCTTTTGTATCTCATTTAACCATATATACATTGCTCGTATTTTGTTGCTGATCTCATAGCTGTTGTTGTGTTTGAAGGCAATGTGCCCAGTAGTTGAGATTTTTTAAACTCTCCCACAATATTTTTTGTTGGCTCAATGGGTATCTCACAGTAAAATAACTCGTTTGCTTTTCTTCAATTTTTTTTTTGTTTTTATTTTGTTCAATATTTTGTTTGAAAAATTTTCAATTTTTAAATGTTGACAACATTTCAACTTCAGATACATTTGAGACGTGCGCGCGTTTAGTCGTTACATTTAAATTCGAAAAATTTTCACAAAAAAAAAATATATTCTAATAAATAAATTAAAATATTTAATTTATATAAACTCAAAAAAAGTGAAATATTATTTTGAAAATGTAATAAAAATATCAAAGTATTATTTAAGCAATTAATTAAGTTATTTATGTTAACAAAAATAACTATAAGTGTTTTTAAAAAAAAAATTTTTATATTTTTTTTAAAAAATTATATTCTATTGATAAGTGTTAAGAAAAAAGTTTTTTAATAACTTAATTGATATATGTTAATATAATAATAAAAAAAAATGTATAATAAATTTATAAATATAAATTTATGTGCAAAGATACTTAGTGCTTGAAAAAAATATTTTTTTTAATTTATAAAATTTTGTGTTTAACTTTTAAATATACAATTTTTTTTTTGTGTGCTGAAGCCTTATTTTTTGTTTAGACAGCTTAGTTAATATTAAGTATAACAAATCTTGGTTTTAATAAGTTACAGTTGCTTGGAAAGTAAATATTTTCTATGATTAACTTACGCACAGATACTTTATGTTGGTAACTGAATATTGTGTTGTATGCAGTAGTAAATAATATGAAGAATTGCATATAAATTAATAGTTGGTGTTATTTTTTAAAAATATTTTTTAAAGGAAAAATAAAAAAAATTAAAAATTTAAAAAAATTTTTCCTAATATATGTGTGGAACAATAAAAACAGAGCAAATAATTCTGTACTATATTCCATATTGAAGGTCATCAGACATAAATTAAAAATCAAGCTACTTTATGTAACTGCATTTAAAGAAAAATATAATAATTCATATAAATACATATATATACATATATATATATAAATACACAAAAGTGTATATACATATATACTTATAGTAATTCCACAACTTCGTTAAGTTTATCTTGGTTTGGTTCGAAACATGTGTTTTACAAAATTAGTAATCGCTGAGTGGCGAAGTAAATGAAAAAAGTTGAATATTTTTTTTCATTTGTACACACTTTGGATTTAAAATATATTTAATATAAAATTATAAAAATTGTTATTTACCCAAGTAAACAAACAAAAAAAAAATCAAACAGATTAATTATAAAAAACGTTTTATATTACATTTCAGCGAATAAATTTAAATAAAATTTTGGTTTTCGTATTTATAATACTCAGTCTTTTTTGAAATCAGAAAATTTTTACCTTTCAACAGTAAACACTATTTTCGTAAAGACTTGTCACATTTTTTTCAATAATTAATTCATTAACTCTGTTCGTGTTAGACGAGGAATTTTAAAGAGCTGATGCAAGTCTATAAACACCTCTCGTTAGTTTTATATTTCTAATTAATTTTCAAAAAGTGTAAAAATTTTTCTAAACATTAAAAATATTAATTATTATTATTATTATTATTAAAAGAAGAGATCGTGCACTGCACCTTTATAGATCAATTGTGCCCCTTAGTCGGATTAAAGTGTTTCTCCAAGTACGATTTCTTTATTGATAGACAGTAAAGAGTCTATTCTTCCTAGTTTTGAATCTCTATGATCAATCAAATACCCTTCTAGGTGCTTCTTCTGCTTGTGCATCAATGCAAGACACTCCCAAAGCACATGGTATGCGGTTTCTCATTCTTCGCTACATTGGATTCCTAACTTTGTTATGTGATTAACATCTACAGTTATTCTTTATTTGTTCTATGCAATTTTTGAAGCGTTTTAGGTTGTAAGTCCCTAAAAGCATTTTAGATTGTGAAAGTCTTGGTAACCTTTTCCAATAGAGTTCACTTTCTTTTTTCTCTGCGCTGTTCATAAGAATGGAGAGAGATCCATTGCCTAGATCATAGAATATTAATAAAAATATTAATAATAATCTTTATTTAAAACAATATTTAGAATATTAATAATAATGTTAATTTTGCACTACTGTTATTAATAAATGTTGAAAAAATTTATTTTTATTTTGATTGTTTAAGCAGATCTTTAAACTCTGTAACAAGGCAGCTATTTCCAAACTTTATATCTATCAGAGCAATTTTCTGACAGCAAGTCATTAACTAATACTAATGATGGCGCCTTTAAAGTCTCGACTTAGCAAAAGTTTCAGATAATTTTTATTAAAACAATAGATTTTTTTGTAAAATTGTTTTTTTTTTGAGATGGGTTAACTAGCCAATTGTTGAATTATACATTTTTATAAAAAAAATTTGGTTTTTAAAAAATCTTTTATTCACACCAATATTTCGAGTATATTCTATAGTCATCTTCAGCGATTTATTATAATGTTCTTACCCTTTACACCAAAATATTAAACCAAAATCGAGTAAAGTATAAATTTGGTGGTTCCTTTTTTTGAAAGTGAAAGTTTTGCTCTATGAGAAAACTTAAAAAGAATTTATTGTATTAATATTAAATTATTTAATACATAAAAATATATATAACAATTATTTACTATTGATCTTTAATTAAAATACAATTTTTCTTTAAACAATTTTGTTTTTAATTTTCAGTGTAGCACTTCTTTTTTTTTTCTCTAATGTTTTTTCTTACCTTATTTTCTTATTTCATTGCTTTATTTTATTTTCTTACATTTTCTTCATTTATTCTCTAATTTTATTTACCTACTTAATTTGTTTTAGTATGATGGCTAATTGTGTTTAGCAGAGCCAGAAGTACTGCAAATGCAAACAACATGCACAAAAATAAAATAAAAACAAATTTGCAACAACAACGATGTTGCTTGCATAGATAGCATAGTTGGGCCAATATTGTATTTTCTGAAGAGATCTTAACAACAACAACTAACATAAATGATTTTTTTTAATTGCTTAAATTATATTTGAAAAATCTTAATCCAAAAATATTTCTTGTGTCATTTATACTAAAGTAACACTCCAATGAAATTGTATTTCGCTAAAAATGAAGCTCGTGTGTTTTACCCTAATTTTTTGGATGTCCAAGTTTTTCCAATATAAGTTTATAGAAAGCGAAATGCATTAAAAATTATAACGATTTTTTATAAACAAACTCAAGAGATAAACAAGAAGCTGAAGTCCCAAATTTTAATAAGTTATTGGAGGGATCCAAAAGTGCTTTATGATATTCATGATCGGAATATGTGCACTTGTATATGTTAATGTGATATATAGGTACTCTTAATTGACCACCTAGTATATGTATGAGTGTAGTGAAATTGTAAACAAACAAAATTAAATGGACCAATTCATATATACTATCTGCAATTATTGGCAGAACTGTAGACATTTCTTAACAAATATCTTTAGTAAATTCTGAAAATCTGGTGGCCTGGAATTATGAGCAGTGAACGCTAATGAAACGTCACAATTTAACATCCCATTAAAAATAACATTATGAAAAAGAAATACGGTTGGTTAGAATCTGTATTTCACGGATTAGCGATATAATATATGTAGCACTGAAATGATATTTACAACGCAGGCGCATCCGTTGACGGCTTAAAATGTCGTAGAAAAGAACAATCAGCACAAAATCCAGCTCTTAAACTACACATATTTTTGTAATGAACGTCTTTTAATTATTATAATAATAATAATAATTAAAAATATGGTCATTACCAAATAAGTTGGACCTATTAAGAAGTAGTTTTAAAGTGCGTACAGTAGTACTAACTTGATACAAGTGATTATTTAAATATCTAATTTAATTACTTTTGTAAATGACATTGAGGATTTTAATTAATTATTCTACTTTAGATTTTTGTTTTTTTTTGTTATTTCTGGTATAACCAAAATAATTAATGTATGGTCTTTCATAGACAGTATACCGTCTTTTATTAAAGGAATCGTACTTGGAAAAACACTCTTATACGACTAAGGGACACAATAGATCTTTTAGTGCATAACCCCTTTTCACAATTATAATAATGGTCAGTAAAATCAAGTTCACGAACCAATCTCTTTTGTTCAGAAGGGCGGAACTCCTCCAATAAAAAAAGAACTGACTTGACAAATCTGTACATTTGGCTATGTCGCTCATTTTAAATGGTTATTGATGACAGTAATAGATGGACCTCTAAGATTTTAATTGTTTCCGTAGTCAATGATAGGTATTTGCCTATAAAGTGTTTTTTTTTATCTGACCCACAACCACTACAAAAGCCGTTATAGTATACATCAAGACGGTCACTGGCCTTCGTACTATTCAGTGTACTGTGAGCATTGGTACCACTTTACTATTGTTTCTGCATTAGTTCATGCAGCTGACTGTTACGCATTTTGTTCGAATAGATGGGATGTGCCTTGTGATCAGACCTACCTTTTCAATCTCAAAAATATACGCTTAATTGCCAATTTTAGGCACTGCAAGTTAGTTGGAAATATTAGGGAAGTATATATCGAAAAGCAGTATATATGTTTTAGCAAGCTTGTCTGTTTTACAGTTATTCAAAATATTTCTATGTTCAGCTATATCTGTGAGATATACCTCTCTATAAGAAAAGTAAAATTTTTTTTAATTTTCTATATATTACATTATACATTTATATTACAAATTTAACAAACCAATTAAAATCTTTCAATTTTTATATATAAATGCTGTTTATTTTGCCTAGCATTTACTACACTTAAAGCTTATTTACATCAAATATTAACAAATACTTTATTGCATAGATTCTGTCTTATCTCAAAAATTATTCGAATATATTAATTGTGCATATATTATTCTTATTAATCATTTTCGTCGTTTGTTTTAATTTCCTGCGTCTCAGCTTGATTGACTTTTATACAAAACTAATAAGTAAAAAAAAAATAATAATAAATAATAAAAATTTAAATTTTCCACATCTTTTGAATTCCAAGTGCATACGAAGTGCAACAGAAGTGCAGTAATTGCAGCAATTGCATGTGAAAGAAAGTCTTGTACGTATAAATTAAATTGAATTAAATTACGGATTTATTAATTAAAGAATTAAGGAAAAAGAATGTCGCTTGACCAAAGGTCAATAAACTAAACACATAAACTATTAAATTTTTAATTTTATTTTTATAAAAAATAATAAACTTTTAATACGCTTATAAAATATTATATTATTAATCTTATATTATTAACACAAATATGAAAGAAAGTATATATAAATAA